GGTTTTATGGTAATGGGGTTAGTTTTCAGGGTGTCTCTAGCCAGTCATCTTGCTTGATCCATATTTAGTCTTCGGGTCCTTCCTGGTGGTGCAGACTTCGCTCAGCCAAGATGGATTCCAGCGCAAAGGATGCTGGGACGTTGGTAGGACAATACTATGGGCTGGCATCCCCTCCCTCCTCTTGGCTCCTCTGGACTTCCAGTTGTGAGACAACTCATACGTGTGTTTATCATCATGCCTGGCCAAGGCAGGCGGTTTTGGTCAGTGGCTCCCTAACAGACCTGTTACAGGCGCAGGGTGAGGCCTAGATCAGGCATGGAGGTCTTCTCCCCTAATTTCCATGAAGAAGGAGGTGGAATGAAGGGAACCCCAGGTCATGTGGAGAAGGGGATGGACTTCGGGATCCCTGTTATTCGAGAGGAAACCACACTCCCCAGCACTGTTTCTGGCCTCGTGAGCAGCAGTGATTTCCATGTGCTCCCAGCCCCTTGGCTGGTCAGAATGGTGGCCACGGCAGTCGCGGGAAAAGACTGTGTCACGTTTCAGCCCCTTCTCTTTGTATCTGTGAGTATTTGTATACAGACACTAATCTGTAGACGTACACACTCAAGTTCTAGTTTTCTACTGTTTGGGCTTTGGTTCAGTAACTTTTCTTGGGAAAGTCACTGATTTTAGCCTAGAGGGAGTTGTGAGCTAATTAATTAATTAGCTAATTAAAGTTCTTTGGTAATAACTATCTAAAGATTGAAATGTCTCACTCTGGGGAGAAGAGGCAGGGCTACCAGTGAACTAGACTTGACCTCTAGACTGTGAATTTCTTGAGGGCACCTTTCACATCTTACCCTCTTTTGTGGGATAAATGAAGGCCAAGTGAATGACTCTGAAATTAATTAATTTCACTTCGTTGAAATGGATTTTGTTAATGGACCGTTTAATAATGCGTTTAGATATACAGAAATGACATCTGTAGTACAAGTACAGTCATACAAGTTAGTTTCTCCACGTTTAGGAAGGAAGATAGGGGAGAGGGAAGAAGGAAGGTCATTTGTACTTAATTTCAAATACTGATTCCTCATTTCTTCTTTGATGTTTACTTCAGTGGCCTTAAAATACTGGCTCCCAAGATAAAGTTTATTGCTTCTTGAAGTCACTTCCATTCTTCGTTACCAAAATCAGAGGAAGCATAAATACTAGGGTTAACTGCAGGGGATCTTTGCTGTGCTTGGCAGCCCAAAGAATCAACCTTGCTCCTTCAATTCCTTTCCCCATGGCTGCCCCACTCCATCCCCTGTTGAGACCACAGCCCTTTGTGGCCTTGGATGAGTTCAACCACAAAGAAACCACCCCCCCACATAATACGAAGTGGACAGGCTTGTAGGAGTGAGACAGGGGCTTGGACAACACAGGGGGTGACCTCTTTAGGTGGGGTCTGGCTCAGGCCCTTCACTCTGGGGCTGATATTCTCTGGTTGACCTTTGCTACTCTGCATTTAGTTCCCAATCCACTTGTGTGCCCAGTGGTAGAGAAGGAGCTAGAAAAGCCACAACTCCTTAAAATGTAGGGGCTGTCATCAACGTAGTAGGAAGGACAAACATTTAAATGATGGTTACAGCTTGTACAATGTAATACTTTGCTAGAGTTGAGGTATAAACCAAAAAGAGATTAAAAAAAAAAAAAAAGCTAACAGTTATGCCTGGGAGTATCAGGGAAGGCTTTAAGGAGGGCATGTTGGGCAGGGTCTTGAAGGATGAATAGGGGTTCACTTGGTAGAGACTCAGGGAGGGCATTCCAAGCTCTGCAGATAAAGTAAAGATATGCATTTCTAAACAGCAAAAAGTCCACGTGGTCAAAATACAGGAAAAATGGGTGAGTGGGAATTCACTGGATATGAGACTGTTGCACCAGATTGGGGTCCAAATGCCATCATAATGGTTGATTGTAATTATTTATATGTCTGTATCTTCTGCCCAAGTGTCTGCACCCTGAGATCAGGGAATAGGTTTTACTGACTTTCTTCAGACAAAGTTGGGCATTTTTGTGGTGATATGGCTGTAGATTTACTGACTTTCTTCAGTCTTCCTGAATCTGACAGTGTTTTTAAGAGGGCCCCATGAATTTTCATTGAATAGATATTGGGTGATATTTGAAGTTATTTTAGCCTAGGCTGAGGAGCTGGTCATATATCACAGTGATTTGTTTAGACTTTATCTCTTGGGGAACACAGAGCCATTAAACAAGAATGATCTAAATTTATCTGTGTTTGACAAAGTTATTCTGACTATAATGTGACAGATTCATTGAGAGAGACTGGATGTTGGAAGGCCAGTTATAGAAACTACTGTAATGATCTGGAGGAAATATTAGAAGCTTTGGGAGGGTGAAAACTTGAGAGATATTTATAAGGTAGCATTGACAGCTAACCCCAATTTTTGGTGACCAGTCAAATGGAGGGGGGAAAATTGAAGATCTCTATTGACTCAAGAGAAACCAAGTCTGACTTTCAAGTGGATTTATACTCAAACATGAAAAGGAAAATAATATCCTAATACTTGGGCACTAAATGTAATTAACTTATTGATATCAGTTTAGAAGAATGAAATTAAGAGTTGACTAACCAATAAGATTTACATAGACATTGGAGAGAAGGAACTAATTTATATAGCATATGTAATATACATATTGGTTTTGTAGCATACATAATATGCAAATAAACAAGTAAAGAGTATGTTCTGATGTCATAGATATAATCAGGGCTGCCATGTGTGGTCTCACAGGTTGTGCACTGTACAAATCAAGGAAGGAGCACCAATAATAGCAATAGGTCACCCTGCAAAGGTACTGTCATGTCCATCTTGGCCTTCAACTCAACAGATTCAGAGACTGTGTTTGTTTCTAGCCACAAAAGAAGAATTTTAGGATGGGAATTTGATAGACTTGCAAGGTTTGATCCTGTGATGGAGGCCCTTCCAGAGCCAGGTCATTGGTTAGTTAGATGCGTGTTAAATGAGGGAAGTTTTTCTCCTCTTAAAGGACTTAGGCTATGTTCTTACCTTGCCTTCTGACAGCAGTGGGAAAGTCCAGCTTTTCGCATGTGGTGATGTTTTGAAACCTCCTAGTGTGTGATGTGTCCCACTCCATGGTGCTCTGAATCTCGTTCATAATGAATGATGCGAAGTGACACATGGATTCAGCCTTTAGAAGGGATAAACTCATGGAAGCAGATGAAGAAAGTACAGTCCTTTATATTCTTTCACAACCATCCAATGTTGCTTTAAAATTGGTGTGGATTTTGCTCACATGCTTCAGGGGAGATAGCTTCCAATGGTGACAGACCAGACTGTAGGTTAGGCTTGTCTCTGCTGTGACCTGGCCTGCCATGGCTGGGGGTTTCTAAAGCATCATAGCAGTTCTCAGTGGCCAGGACTCAGTTTGGGGGGAGTGGGAGGCTCTGTAGAACATGTCAGAGAAGAGCATCCTCTTAGGGGTCAGACCTAAGGCTAGGGCTCCCGGAAAGCAGCCCAGACGACTGCATTGTACACAATCTCCAGATGCTCAGGCCCTTGGGACCCAGTTGTCAAACCAAGTTCTGGACCAGGGCCTGGGCAAGCGCAGGTAGGGTGTATAGCGGTGCCTGCTTCCCCGCACTTATTCATCTAGTGGAAACATGTCAGGCTGCCTCCTCCAGGGCCCGGCATTTATTTTAAAGAACGTTAGAAAGGAAGCAGATCGCTTCCCATCTTCCTCCCTCTTTGGGCGTGTTTATTGTGATTGGAAATCATTCTCGGCCACGTGGTTGTGGCTTTCACCCCACTCTTTGTGCTCCTAGGTTAAACAGCCCTCTGTGCAAATAAACAGAAAAGGGTGAGGTATTTTATTCAGCGACAGAAAAAGGAGCAAAGCGAGAGCCTGGAGAAGTGGGAGGGGAGGTCCGCAGGCTCGTGTCCTCTGCAGTGAGCTTTTTCCTCGCTCGCGGAGCCAGGCCGGGAGGCATGGTAGAGGCCCTGGCCGGCGCTGGCAGGGGGCCCAGACCCAGGTGTTCGGCAGGAAACCGGACTGCGGGCCCAAGGTTGTTGTTTGCTAGAACTTACTTGGGGCTTATCTTGACTGTTCCTGTTGGGGGGGAGGAAATTTGGAGCTGCTCTCAACTTGATTAAAACCTGAAAGCAAGAAGTAAAGCTGAAGAATTTGTGCAGTTTTGGATCACGTATATTTTAAAATTTTGTTCCAAAGCTCATAAAACCTCCAGCTGTTGGTACAACTGATGAGACTTATTTGCCATCAAAATCACTTTGAACACATTCCTTTTTTATATATATCTTTTAAAACATTTTATTTAATTTTGGTTGCTGCGCGCAGGGTTTCTCTAGTTGCAGCGAACGGGGACCACTCCCTAGCTGCGCTGAGCGGGCTTCTCACTGCAGTACCTTCTTGTGCTGAGCTCGAGCTCTAGGGTGCACGGGCTTCAGTAGCTGCAGCTCTCGGGCTTAGCTGCCCCTTGGCATGTGGAATCTTCCCGGACCAGGGATTGAGCGCATGTCCCCTGCATTGGCAGGCAGATTCTTAACCCCTGGACCACCAGAAGTCCCTGGATACATTCTTAGAAGGAGCCACAGGTGACTGGAGACCACTCAGTGACGAACACAGCACGCACTGCACCAGAGCCCCTCAAAACTCGGCCTTTTGTGTCTGAGGGACCGTAGGCTTAAATTTTCATTCTTGTCCTCCTAGACCTGGAAAAGACTGTTTATTGTTAGTTAGTTCCCTATTTCAAGCCAATGCACGCTTCATGAAAATCTCTTGAAAAAGAAAAAGAAAAAGACTTCCACAGATACAGAAAGCCAGCACAAGTCAAGTGGATGGTTTAATGAATTACTTAGGTCAAAAAATAAAACTACTCCTGCCCCCCGCAGTCCCCGTCTCAGGCCCTCTTTTCCCCCAGGAATAACCTCTCTTCTGAACTTCTATGTGACTTCTTTTCTGGGTTTAACTTTTTTCTTTAATTAAATGCTCTTTATTTGTTGCTTTTGGTGCACAAAGCTATGGGAAGCTGCCCAACCCAATAAGTCAGCCCCTTCATCACTCTTAGTTAAGGCAGCCATGGGCCGGGGGGAGGGAGCATTCAGTAAGCCATCTTCTCCCCAACCTTCTTTCTGGAACCATTCTCTATAGGCACCTTCATAGTTCCGAGCCCCTTCGTAGCCAAGGCTCTGGGCCACCTGCGTGGCCTGCAAGCCCCGCTTGCCCATCTGACAGAAGAAAATGAGATTCTCGTCTTCCGGTTTTGGCTTCTCAGAGGAGAACAAAGCCTTGAAAGCAGCCGGCTCTATCTGCAGGTCACTTTCCAACTCTGACCGCCTCCACTGGGGGTGCTCCATGGGCTCCAAAGGCCACATGTTGGCCTAGACAGGATCCCAGGTCTCCCCTGCTGGTACCTCCAGACATGGTGCGCACTGCAAATGCGGGTTTCGGGAACGTGGCCCTGGCCCGCCCCCTGGGAGCGGGCTGTGTGTTTAACTTTTTAAAACTATTTTATATAAAATCATTATATAAAATATTATATATTATTATATAAAATATTTACATTAAAATTATTTTATATACATAGATTTTTATTTTTGGCTGCACTGGGTCTTCTTGAAACCCATGTCCATTGCGTTGGTGATGCCGTCCAACCATCTCATCCTCTGTCGTCCCCTTCTCCTCCTGCCCTCAATCTTTCCCAGCATCAGGGTCTTTTCCAATGAGTCAGCTCTTCACATCAGGTGGTCAAAGTATTGGAGTTTCAGCTTCAACATCAGTCCTTCCAATGAACACCCAGGACTGATCTCCTTTAGGATGGACTGGTTGGATCTCCTTGCAGTCCAAGGGACTCTCAAGAGTCTTCTCCAACACCATAGTTCAAAAGCATCAATTCTTCAGTGCTCAGCTTTCTTTATATATAAAAATTTTATATTAAGATTATTTTATATATGTAGATTTTTATATTTGGCTGCACTGGGTCTTCTTGCTGCACACGAGCTTTCTCTAGTTGGAGCACGAAGGGGCTACTCTCTAGTTTTGGTGCTTGGGCTTCTCACCATGGTGGCCTCTCTCATTTTGGAGCCCAAGCTCTACAGTGCAGGCTTCAGTAAGTTGTGGGTACACGGGCTGTGGGACCCCATGGCATGTGGGATATTCCCAAACCAGGGATTGAACCCATGTCCCCTGCATGGGCAGGCAGATTCTTAACCCCTGGACCACCAGGAAAGTCCCTGTGTTTAACTTTTAATAGTTTTATCACTCAATTGTGCATCATCTCTAGATTTAAAGATTTGATCTTGCCTGTTTCAGTTCAGTTCAGTTGCTCAGTCATGTCCGACTCTTTGCGACCCCATGGACTGTCACACGCCAGGCTTCCCTGTACATCACCAACTGCCGGAGCCTGCTCAAACTCATGTCCATTGCGACAGTGATGCCATCCAACCATCTCATCCTTTGTCGTCCCCTTCTCCTCCCGGCTTCATCTTTCTCAGTATCAGAGTCTTTTCTAGTAAGTCAGCTCTTTGCATCTGGTGGCCAAAATACTGGAGCTTCAGCTTTAGCATGAGTCCTTTCAATGAGTATTCAGGACTGATCTCCTTTAGGATGGACGGGTTGGATCTCCTTGCAGTCCAAGGGACTCTCAAGAGTCTTCTCCAACACCACAGTTCAAAAGCATCAATTCTTTGGCGCTTAGCTCTCTTTATGGTCCAACTCTCACATCCATATATGACTACTGGAAAAACCATACCTTTGACTAGATGGACCTTTTTTAGTAAAGTAATGTCTCTCCTTTTTAATATGCTGTCTAGGTTGGGCATAGCTTTTCTTCCAAGGAGCAAGCGTTTTTTAATTTCATGGCTGCAGTCACCATCTGCAGTGATTTTGAAGCCCCCAAAAATAAAGTCTCTCACTGTCGCATTGTTTCCCTATCTATTTGCCATGAAGTGATGAGACTTGATGCCTTAGTTTTCTGAATGTTGAGTTTTAAGCCAAGTTTTTCACTCTCTTCTTTCACTTTCATCAAGAGGCTCTTTAGTTCTTTGCTTTCTGCCATAAGGGTGGTGTCATCTGCATGTCTGAGGTTATTGATATTTCTCCCGGCAATCTTGATTCCAGCTTGTGCTTCATCCAGCCCAGCATTTCTCGTGATGTACTCTGTATATAAGTTAAATAAGCAGGGTGGCAATATACAGCCTTGACATACTCCTTTCCCAATTTGGAACCAGTTTGTTGTCCCATGTCCAACCGTTCTAACTGTTGCTTCTTGATGTGCATACAGATTTCTCAGGAGGCAGGTCAGGTAGTCTGGTATTCCCATCTCTTTCAGAATTTTCCACAGTTTGTTGTGATCCACACAGTCAAAGGCTTTGGCATAGTCAATAAGGCAAAACTAGATGTTTTTCTGGAACTCTCTGGCTTTTTCGATGATCCAGTGGATTTTGGCAATTTGATCTCTGGTTTCTTTGCCTTTTCTAAATCCAAAAATTTGATCTTGCCTGTTTAGAAATATTTAAAGTAACTTTTAATTCTTTTAAAAACTACAGATGCTTCCTTTAACTCCTTAAAATTTATCTATTGAATGACCTTTAAGTAGGACTTAAAGTATTTAAGCCAAATTCTACTAGCAACACATTCAATTGCCTTGTGTAAGCTATGATTTTGAGAGGTTTTTTTTTTTGCAAACACAGTGGTAATACCTAATTTTAATTGAAATGTGGTAAAATCTAAAAACAGACATAATTTAAAATGCTAAGAAGCCAGAAAGTTGCATTTGAATCTATACTAGCAGTTGAAAGGTTGAGGTTATCTGGCTAATATACAAGGGGAGCTTTTCATCCTCTGATACCATTGATCTTGTGATGTGTGCTTATATACAGGGTTCCAGGTGGTGCTAGTGGTAAAGAACCCACCTGCCAATGCAGGAGACATAAGAAAAGCAGGTTTGATTCCTGGGTCAGGAAGATGCCCTTGAGGACAGCATGGCAATCCATTCCAATATTTTTGCCTGGAGAATCACATGGACAGAGGAGCCTGGAGGGCATCAGTCCAGAGGATCTCAAAGAGTCAGACACAACTGAAGCGACTTAGCATGCATGCATGCCCTTATATATATAATCATTATGTCACATAGTCAAAGTGAAAGTGAACGTTGCTCAGACACGTCCGACTCTTCGCAACGCTATGGACTGTCCATGGGATTCTCCAGGCCAGAATACTGGAGTGGGTAGCCTTTCCCTTCTCCATGGGATCTTCCCAACTCAGGGATCAAACCCATGTCTCCCATATTGCAGGTGGATTCTTTACCAGTGGAGCCGCCAGGGAAGCCCTGCATCACATATGATTATCTCTATTCTAGGCAAAGAACAGGAAAACAGCTATGGCTCTGTAAGAAAAGCCCGAAACCAAAATCACGAGCAAGCTTAGACGTTAAAGCTCGAGAGCTCTGGTGTGACGGGATCTGTCTTTCTGTTCTGGTTTTGCCACCATTTAATGCTGGGCATGGCAACAGTTCCTTTGCACCTTATTCTCATAGTCCATCCACACTTTTGTTGTGAAAAATGATTATTTATTAAATTCTCTACCTTATTATTAATCTTGATTCTGGAAAATGTTAGTTAAACCTGAGTCTTTGGTGTGAAAAATAAAAAGGTGTGGAAAAAATGCATACTCCCAGGGTTCATCAAATATAACTTCATTTACTTGTGGGTACTAGTATTTTGCATTTTTACCTGAAAATAGTTTATTAGCATTGGTAATAATAACTAAAATGGCAAATACTTGCAGAATAACTTTTAGTTCATGAGATGCTCTTTGTCATGAACTATCTGTGTTTTTATAGAATAAAAAAATCCCACGTAAAGTTATCTCTTCTGCGTTCATCATATGCTAGTGTTCTCTCCTCAGCCGGTAGTGAAGAGGAACTTATTAAAGACATAGGTATTAAGTGAAAAAACCTAAATTATAAACATCTAGTCATTATTTTTCTATACATTTCTGGAGCTGTTTATTTTGTATAGTAGCCAGTTCTTAAAATCATCACATAGGTCTGTACCGTGAAAAATATGAGTTAAATAATGGATAATTAATCTTGACATAATCTCATGGCATTGCTTCTTAAAAAATAAATATGTAATAACCAAGTTACCAGGATAACACTGAGAACTTAACTGCCATCCTGAGCTGTCTTATTGCATAGTCACTTAAACCCACATGAGAGAGGTTTACAATATGAGTCATTCAGATTCCTCTGCAGGAGGATGGTTTTTCTCTCGCCTTGAGTCCGTACTCAGATACCATGTGGCCATCTGGTAGATTGCCACAAATCCTGTATCTGTAAGCATGGTATCTAGGATACATCTGAAGGAAATTGCATTAAAAGGAAAGAAAATTGAGTCACTGTTTTATCCTGATCAGAAAGGTCACAGTAACCCGTTGTCCCAAAGGAGGCACTATTCTTGAGAAGATTACAGTGGGGTGGTGGGCGTTAAGAGACCTCCGAGCAGTTCCCACAGTTTTAGCAATTCAGGCTAGACGTGGGGTCCATCTCCTTGAGGTTCAATCCGCTCTTCTGGCTCCATTGGTGGTACTGGGCCTTTTGTGTCTTCATGGGTGCCATCTTCTTTCCCAGACTATGCAAGAGGGGGACCCCACTCTGTTTTCCTCGCTAGTCCTGGAAAAGTCACACCAGCCCTTCTCAAGCTCTTCCTAGCTCTGAGCATTAGATGTGAGCATCCCATCCTTAAGAGATGTGTCTTTCATGAGGAATCAAAATTGTCCCCAGCTTACTCTGGAACTAAGTGAAAATTAATCTGTGGGTAGGCACTCCCTCTTGTTCACACTTAACCATTCTCTATAGCCTTCTAATAGAGCACTTGTCACTTTGCTCTGTAACTTGAGAGCTTTCACATTTCTTTTCACCATCACCTACAAAAGAAAATGTGTTTTCCATTGCAAACCAGCACACACAGATACACACATAGAAAAATGACTGATGCAGAGATACAGACATGTATCCATGTGAGCTGCCTTACCTTGACTGCACACGCTTTGATATTTTCCATTCTCTGCTATTCTGTTCTACTTTCTTTATTTCTCTCTGTGCTGGGTCTTCATTGCTGTGTGTGGGCTTTCTCTGGTTGTGACCAGTGGGTGCTACTCTTTGTTGCAGTGTCCCAGCTTCTCACCTCTGCACGTGGGATCTTCCCAGACTAGGGATCTTTGTGACCCTATGGACTGTAACCGCCCCCCCTCCTCCCCGGCTCCTCTGTCCATTGAATTCTCCAGGCAAGAATACTGGAGTGGGTTGCTATGCCCTCCTTCAGGGGATTTTCCCAACCCAGGGATCAAACCTGCATCTCTTATGTCTCCTGCA